ATATATAAATTTATTAATTACCAAAAATTTGAAAAAAAAAATATTTTTTTTTGCAAAGGACCGGCCGTAACCGGTTATGGGACCGGAATCGGGACCGGACGGCTTAACCGGTTACCGGTAAGCTTGACCGGTTATGGAGGATTTCACCGGAACCGGGACCGGTTATGAAGGGACCGGTTATGGAACGTTTTTGTCTTGATCGAGACCGGCCGTAACCGGTTATGGCCCGGCCCGGGACCGATTTTTGGCCACCTCTACTATGGAATGTGTTCAAAATTCTAGTGGGCCAATGAAGATGTAGATGTAGGCCAGGGACATAGAGGTTTCCCCCTCTTTGCAAAAATGGCCTACAAGAAGTTACTGATAATGGCCCTTGGACTATAAAAAATGTTTCCATCTATATTCAGAAATGTAGAACTGGCTTAAATCTTAACTCTGTTAAGCATGAGAAGATACCTTTGTGGGTGAGTGAAAATTCATGACATCTCCTATGAAGCCTGGAATGATGAGGGTCTTAATTATATCGCTAGTAAAATTGGTAAACCCCTTGCTATGGATTCCTGGACCACCAATATGTGTAAGTATGCAGCGAGGAAGTCTACCTTTGCTAGGGTTCTTTTTGAAGTACCCGTCAGGCAAACTTGGTTGGATTTCGTTAAGGTCCGTATCCCAAACCCGGAAACCCTTGCTAYGTCTTCTTATGATCTTAGAGTTGAGTATAATTGGAAACCCCCTATGTGCTCTCATTGCAATATCTTTGGTCATTCTACTTCTATGTGCTCTCATTGCAATGTCTTTGGTCATTCCATCTGCCCCGGGTACGATTACACGCGTCCACAACAATTGTGGCCTCTGAGTTAATTTTTTAAGGCTAATGTCCACAACAAAGTTTACTTTCAATGAAGCGGGGAGAAGAAAGACAGCTCTTCCGGATGTGAACAAGGCATACACTGTATATAAGTTTAAGGGTGAAGAATCTTTTCAGGTATGTAATGATTGGATCTTTCATTGCGTACCTCTCGAGGGAGCATGAGGCATTCCAACTATTGTTGACTGGAACAAGTTTAGGAAGGGGATCAATGCTGCTAATTATTTGCTTCTAATTACTGCGTTTGTGGTGTCGTCGTCGTTTACAACTTAAAATATCAGTAGAGGTTCTTTTTTTTTCTAATCTTCTTGATGACCATCCCTTATGTTCATAATTTAAAATGTCATTTGCTTTTTCACACTTTGTCTGTATCAAGGTTGTGGGCCTTGTGGCATAATGGTTCAAGGGGATGTAGTGGAAATCTCATATTCCCAGTCCCAGGGTTCGAATCCAAGCGCAGCCATATGGCCATAGCGATGACACCAGGTCATTTGTGGTCGCCCAAGGGATTTGTTGGTGCGCATTGGCCTGGATACCCACGGTTATCCAAAAAAAATGACCGTGAACAAAAGGCTCTCATTATTGTCTCTATTCAGCCGGGTTTAGGAAAGATGAATTACGTTGTAGGTGTTATTGAAAGAGCTTTTTATAGATATGTAAATGAATTTTTGTTGATGTACATGTAAATGCGGATAATATATCCTTTCATGGCTGCATTTGATTGATATATAGATTGTAATAGCCCTACAAGGTATTATGGAGGCAGTGCATGACCTATCATTTCTCGGATTTATTTTTTGGAAGTGACTCCAGGTTTTTGCTTAATATTTTCAGCCTCTTACGGAGTTCCCTGGTAAAAAAATGCAAGTTTGGTTTGGTGATGTGTTTGATGAGTGGGAGTTCTGTCCTTCAGATCTTGCAGCCTCGGACGGTCGCTACATTCGTACTGATGCAAGGAATTCAATGCGACATTCTTGTGTCATGAGTGCATAAAACACGGTATGTTCTCCAATAAATATTCAAATCATAATAAATGAACTCCAATCATTTCTATAAATATCTCAATTAATTGGGTTGCAAATGTTGTACAAATGCACAAGGTTGTAAAAGAAATATATATATATATATATATATATATATATATATATATATATATATATATATAGTTTGATTTTTAGTTCCATAATTAATTTAGTCATGGTGTTCTTGTCCGTCGTCCCCATTGCAGTCAACATTAGGCAACCCAAAAAAATGGGAATCATATGGGCTAGTACATAATTTTATCTATTTTTCAAATAGAAAAAGGCTAAATATCAAAGAAGGTTAAGGTAAGATTCATATGTGAATCATTGAAAAAATCCATCTCAAAATGCATATGTGAACCCATAGGAATAATCTTCACATATCAGTCTTCCCTTAACTTTCCCTTCTCACGATATTTAACCTTATTTGAACCGGCTCTATATGGGCTAATAGGTAATTTGAACTTGAAATCTTGCCAAAAATAGAACATTGCAGTTAATATCAGGCAACCTAAAAATGGGAATGGAAGGAGAAATATTCTTAGATCACAAATAGCTTACATTCAACGGATGGGAGAGAACTACTTTGTGCAATATCTATTTCTTCCACTGTTGAAGAGGCCAAGGATGACAATTGAGTGTTGATTGCTTGCTTGGTTTCAAGGGCATCACTGCGTTAGGAAATAATGTAAACAATTTATAAGCAAAGAAAGAAACCATTTTCTGATAAGAGGTTACGTTGAGGTCAAAGAAACTAAGTCACAACTAGGATATATTCTATTGCATTTGAAGTATTTAATAACTACAATAAACTCTCTCTAACAAATAAAACAGATAGATAGATAAATAGATAGCGGTGTTATATTTTCCATTAAATCCATATACACTTTATGTTTTGACGATATTGACCGCAAAAAACCACAAGGGTTGTAGCGTAGTGGTTGAGACCCAGGGGGATGTGGTGGAATATCCCATCTGACCCAGGTTTGATTCCAGGTGCCCACAGTAATTATAGCCACTGAGTTTATAAGGGTTGACATCTTATAGTCGCAATTTGCTGGGATTGGTATGGGCTTAACCTGGGATACCCTTCCAAAAAATATTGACCTCAAAAGAAGGTGACGTTTTTTTTTTCATTTTCTTTGCGGTTTTCCCCTCAACCTAACCCTATATATATATATATATATAATATCCTATAATGCATGATCTTTCTTTACCAGTTTTGGAGTATTGCTGTCAAACCATCTTGCCCATTTTGAGTCACGATTTTATCCTCAATGTAATGCTTCTTTGTTTTTTCCAAGAAACTTGTGTATTCATCTTCTGTGGAGGACAGGAAACCATGCATGTCTGACACTTTGTGATGAAGCATGTAAGTTTTGCTGCCAATATAGCTTTGAATGTCGTTTACCTCTGTTTGAACCTGACAAATATAGCAACATATTAAACCGTCTTACATAAAAGCCAGTAACATCTTTTTCTTTTACACCAAGGGACTAAGAAAACTTAAAAACTAAAAAAAGGCTAAAGTGTTGTGTTGGAGTCCCACATCCGCTAAACTTGGACAAGTTCTCCTCTATATATATTCGAGCATTCCTTCTCTCGAAAAGGGCTCTTTTGAAGAGCAATCTAATGAGGTTCCATGTATTCTAACATAACATGGTATCGGTATCAAGGTCTACCACTCTAGGGACTCGATATTCGATATTGATAAATGAAGGTAAATGAAGTGGTTACCAGCTGTTTCTTCTTGGCATTTGAACTGGCTAAAAGCTCTGCCATTTTGGCTAGTAGTTGTCTGTCTTCGCTGTCCGCATAGTCCTATAAAGAATATAAAGACCCGTATAAAACTACTTGTAACATAAAGTGAAAAGGGAGAACTTCTTTGATGCAATGGAGGTTAAAAAATACCTCAAACTTCTTCGTGAATTCACTTAATTTCTTGTAGTACATTGTTCGTGCTTCTTCCACCATTTGTATCACAACAAAAATGTCCTTGCTCAGAGTCTTGAAGAAATTCACTGTAACACTAGATGCAGATTGGGTTGTCTCATATGCTCTCAACCGGCTCTGGTTAAACAGCAAAATCACGAGAAAAAGAAAATTAGCTGATAAGTTTGGTTAAAACTAACTACTAAGGTAGATGACAATGTAAAATGACCTAAAACTATATGTTGAAAAATTAGTTTGAAAAACACAAGGGGCGTAATCGGAAAAAGTTCAAAAAGAACCCCTATAGCATATTGAAATACTACTTCAAGTAGCGTTCAAAAGGTAGCTTATAAGATAGTTTTTGGCTATCCAAACATGCCCATAATAGTAACAATTTTTATTTTCAAACATCCTATATATAATACTGCAAATCTCTATATCATATATAATATATATATATACAAACATATGTTTTCTACTAAACTCAATGAGTAAGTGATATTAAACAGTTTAAATTAGGTTATATACTAAAATCAAATATTGTGTTACAAAACCACACATTAGGCCATGGTGTGCCACAGGCTTAACATGGTGGCTGTTACAGCGAGCCTTTTAGAACACTGCCTATAGCCTATTGTCATCATTACAAACTTATTAATTCCATACATCTTGACCCAAAATGACTCATGTTTTGTCATGGTCAAGGGTATTTTAGACATTTGACTAATAGTTAACGATATACCTCATGCTGCTGTTGCCAAAATGCAGCTATGCTTTGCTCCTGATCATTAAGGTTACTTTGCAAATCATCAAGTATGTCACCGACCTTGACTGAAGCTTCTCTTATAAGCTGCATAGAAACTTAGATATCATTAACATCAATTCCCCTTTTTTTAAAACAGAAACCATTAAGTATTTAATCTGCTTCAACATTGAACAAGAATTAGCTTACTCACTTCAGCAAGGGCAGAAGAATGCTTGACAGCTTCAGAATTTATATTACTGAGTGCTGTTTCAGAATTTCTTCAGAATTTCCACTGAACTCAGTAGCTAGTCCAACCAGAGATTCGATACCACCGGAAAATACCTCCTTAATCTTTTTTTACTCAGAATGAAACCAAAAGGTTGTTGCATGCCACGGAGATGGAGATTGAAGAAAATTGACTGATAGTAAGTGATTTTTCTAACAATCTTGATTGTGTTTATGTTTCTTATTCTAAGAGGGTTTCTTGTTCTTTATATTGTAGGTAACTAGTGGAGCAGAGAAGCTTCATTTTTAGAATTTCTGTCAATGTTTTTCCATTCCATCAATATGTTTGGGTTTCTTACGACCATTAAAGTTTGATTTGAGTATACTTTTCTGCCTTTTTCACTTCCCTCACAAAACAAAGCTGCAATCATCTTGATTTCCTCCCATTGTGAGATAGCAGAAATGGGTTTGTCCATCTTCAGTGAAAAAATAAATTACATCAAAGCAATATTGGATGACATGGAGACGCAAATGGTGGAGAAGGAGAATACCATTCGGACCAAGGAGCAGACTATGGCAGAACTTGCTCTTCTAATCCCTCCACTCAAAGAGAATCTGCAAGAGGCGGTCGATAAGCTGAATGAAACCAAAAGGTTGTTGCATGCCACGGAGATTGAAGAGCTCAAGAAGAAATTGACTGATAGTAAGTGATTTTTCTAACAACTTGATTGTGTTTATATTTCTTATTCTAAGAGGGCATAGGTAATTGGTTAATCTTGTTTCTTGTACAATATATATATATATTGTAGGTAACTAGTGGAGCTTCATTTTTAAAATTTATGTCAATGTTTTTCCATTCCATCAATATGTTTGGGTTTCTTACGACTATTAAAGTTTGATTTGAGTATACTTTTATGCCTTTTTCACTTCGCTCACAAAACAAAGCGACAAAAGGAAAGACAAAAGTATACTCAAATCAAACTTTAATAGTCGTAAGAAACCCAAACATACTGATGGAATGGAAAAACATTGACAGAAATTCTAAAAATGAAGCTCCACTAGTTACCTACAATATATATATTGTACAAGAAAAACAAGATTAACCAACTACCTATACCCTCTTAGAATAAGAAACATAAACACAATCAAGATTGTTAGAAAAATCACTTACTATCAGTCAATTTCTTCAATCTCCATCTCCCTGGCATGC